GCTCTGTCCACCCAGGCTGGGAGTGCAGTGGCCGGATCTTCAGCTCACTTGAAGCTCCGACGTCCCGGGTTTTAACGGCCATTCTCTGCTCAGCCTTTCCGAGTAGCTGGGGACTACAGGGCCCGCACTCGCCGGTTATTTTTTTGGTATTTTTAGAGAGCGGGGGTCTTCAACTGTGTTAGGCCAGGATGGTTCTCGATCTCCTGACCCTCGTGATCCACCCCGCCTCGGCTCTCCAAAGTGCTGGATTACAGGTGTGAGTCCACTGCTCCAGCCGTGACTGGGCTCTTTCACTCTAGCATGATGTTTCAGAGTTCATCAAGGGAAGAGAATGTTATTTAACAACCAGTTTTGGCGGGTGCAGTGGGTCACGCCTGTAATCCAGGCTTTGGGAGGCCAAGCAGGCGGCATCACAAGGGTCACGGAAGATCGAGACCATCCTGGTAACACGGTGAAAGCCCGTCGCTCTCATTAAAAAAGATTACAACCAAATTAGCTGGGCGGGGGGCCGGGGTCCCAAGCCAGTTTTTTCTTATTTGGGCAGACTGGCGTTTTGCATCTAAATGTTGGAGAGACAGTGTAATATTGCCGCAAGTTTTTAAAATTGTATTACGAAATTGTATTTCTTAGCTCCTCAAACTTTGTCTAGGGAGTGGCGATGGTATAGGCAGGGTGGCCAGGAGTTTACCAATTCATTGTGACTATGAGGACTGAAATATTATACCAGGCATGCATTTGTTATCTGTGTGAGGAAGTACAGTGAGGTTAAGGATGGCTTTACATTCAGAAAAGGGATATGAGAGCGTAAATAAATATACAGAGTAGAGAGTCCACATGCTGTTGATTAATATGTTACATTTTTTTTTTTTTTTTTGAGGACGGAGTCTCCTCTGTGCCTAGGGTGGAGTAGAGTGGCGGCAATCTTGCTCACTGGAAGCTCTGGCATTCCTGGGTTCAGCCACTTTCCTGCTCAGCTCCGAAGTAGCCCTGGGACTACAGGTGGCCATACACACCGGCTAATTTTTTGTATTTTTGGTAGAAGATGGGGTTTCCACCGTATTAGTAGGGATGGTTCATTCCTGGACTCATGTATCCTCCCACCTCGCTCGTCCGATAGGAGAGACTCCGTCTCAAAAAAAAAAAAAAAAAAAAAAAAAAGAAAAAAGAGCCCAGTCACAATAGACCACGCATGATTCCATGTCTCTGAAGTGTCTAGAACAGAAAAATCCAGAGGCCAAAAGCACACACAGCTGCCAGGGGCCACGGGGAAGGGGACACGCAGAGTGACTGCTGATGGGCACTGGTTTCCTTTTGGTGTCAACGAGTGGTGACGGTCCCACAATCTTGTGATGTACTAAAATCCACTGAAATGTACGCTTTAGCTGGATGACTTTTATGGTATGTGAATTATAACCTCAATGAAACTGTAAAATACACCATGGTACTAGAGTCCCTGATCTTCACTTCTCTTGGGAAGTAAAGGGAACAACACAGTCAATATTGACTCCTACAGAAATCTTACTACTGAGAACCTCATGCCAGTCCTCAGTCGCTTATCTGTCTCTGTAACAACACAGGCAAAGAGTAGTGAACAAAAACTATGCAACCAGCACCAAGACCTCATGAGATGTGACCTCACCGCAACTGGAGGAATGCTCTCGCCCTGCAGGAGGCGGCTCCGTGGAAGAGGCCAAGGCTGTGGGGAAGAGGTCTGACGTGGACGTCGATGGCTGTGGTTCCTCAAAGCACACCTGAGCGGTGGGCGACAACGGAGGGAGCCGGGGATCGGCCCCTGGCCCTGCACCTACACCTGCACCTGAGGCATCTTTGGTCCCATGGAACACATTTTCCTTGTTAGCTTCTGTAACCCAAAAGGAGCAGAAGGAGCATACATCCAGGGCTCAGGAAGACACTCTAGGGATTGAAACGCTCTTAAGAAAGCAACAGCCCCAAGGCCAGGCACGGTGGCTCACGCCCATAATCCCAGCACTTTCGGAAGCCAAGGCACCTGAGGTCAGGAGTTCGAGACCAGCCTGACCAACATGGTGAAACCCCATCTCTACTAAAAATATAAAAATCAGCCGGGTGGGCCGGGCGCGGTGGCTCAAGCCTGTAATCCCAGCACTTTGGGAGGCCGAGGCGGGTGGATCACGAGGTCAGGAGATCGAGACCATCCTGGCTAGCACGGTGAAACCCCGTCTCTACTAAAAAATACAAAAAACTAGCCAGGCAAGGTGGCGGGCACCTGTAGTCCCAGCTACTCGGGAGGTTGAGGCAGGAGAATCTCTTGAACCCGGCAGGTGGAGGTTGCAGAGAGCCAAGATTGCACCACTGCACTCCAGCCTGGGCAACAAGAGCAAAACTTCATCTCAAAAAAAAAAAAACGGGAGGCTGAGGCAGGGGAATCGCTTGAACCCAGAAGGCGGAGGTTGCAGTGAGCTGAGATCGCACCACTGCACTCCAGCCTGGCGACAGAGCGAGATTCCAACTCAAAAAAAAAAAAAGGAATGCTACAGCCCCTAATATGCATCCGCTTCTTTGCTATAATCTTACTTACCAAAGGATTCTTGTGTCATGCCTTGCTTTTCATTTAAAGATTCATAGAGGTATGCCACGTCTAAAAGAAAATTAATCAAATCAGAAATGTGGTGGCCCCTGTGCAAACTGATAACTCATTTTTCTCTTCTGTTCTCCAGTCCATTTGTTTTTGTTGATTATTTTGACTCATCAGCTAATAACAAATTCATCAGTTCAAGAGTTTTTAAAAGAAGTAATCTAAAACATCTTTTCCAACTCAAAAGAAATAAGCCTCGGGGAAAAATGGCATCAGGAGGCAGAAGAAGGTGAAGAATCTATGTCTCACTTATAACTTCAAACTACACAAAGGAGCAGATACAAGAGCCTTCTGTGTGGCAGGGGCCGATTAAGTTTATACTGAAGATGCCTAAGACATATTTGCCCCATTCTTCCTCACCACTGTGGTCTTTAGGTATTTCAGGGGTGGCCAGGTGCGGTGGCTCTTGTCTGTAATCCCAGCACTTTGGGAGGCGAGGCAGGCAGATCACCTGAGGGAAGGAGTTCAAGACCAGCCTGGCCAACATGGCGAAACCCTGTCTCTACTAAAAATACAAAAATTAGCCAGGTGTGGTGGCATGTACCTGTAATCCCAGCTACCTGGGAGGCTGAGGCAGGAGAATCGCTTGAACCCAGGAGATGGAGGCTGCAGTGAGCCAAGATCACGCCGCTGCACTACAGCCTGGGCAACAGAGCAGAGTGAGACTCTGTCTCAAAATTAAATAAGTACTGGCCGGGTGCGGTGGCTCACGCCTGTAATCCCAGCACTTTGGGAGGCTGAGGTGGGTGGATCACCTGAGGTCAGGAGTTTGAGACCAGCCTGTCCAGCAGGGCAAAACCTCATCTCTACTGAAAATACAAAAATGAGCCAGGCGTGGTGGCACGTGCCTGTAATCCCAGCTACTTGGGAGGCTGAGGCAGGAGAATCGCTTGAACCTAGCAGGTGGAGATTGCGGTGAGCTGAGATCACGCCATTACACTCCAGCCTGGGCAACAAGAGCAAAACTCCATCTCAAAAAAAAAAAAAAAAAAGGATTTCAGGGGTGACCTTGGAAGGACTCCCATCACTTTCCTTGTCCTATACCGTCCTTCCACAAAACCAAAATGCAGACTTCTGGAGCTGAAAAAACTTACTGGAATCCAGTCTAACCTTTGATGTTTCTTGTAAGGTCTCCAAAAGCAGAGCCATCAGTGGCCTCCAGACCCCTGGTCCTAGGTTTTATCCCCATAACTCAAGTTCTTCTCCTGTAGAACCTAAGCCATCCCCGTGAGTTTCTCCCTGGCTGCCACGTTGGGATTGGCTGCTCAAGGCCACGGTGGTATTCCTGAGGAATGGCTGGACTCAGGCTGCAAAATCGACACTCCCACTCCTCAACAGACACTATTCACAACAGGAACCCACGTGAGCAAGAAAGGGGGTGTAGCCGGGAGGAACGTTCCTACGGGAAGCGGTGTAGCCGGGAGGAACGTTCCTATGGGAAGCGGTGTAGCCGGGAGGAACGTTCAGAGCGCGCCCTCGAGTGCACCCCTGTGTGCGTCTGACCCTGGCAAGCCTTCCTCTCTCTTACTGTGTTCCGGTTCATTCTTCCTGTACACCAGGTAGATGATATCGCCACTCTGTAAAGGGCACGTCTGCTTCTTCACAACTTTCAGCTTGTTAATCACTGTTCCGTTGGTGCTGTAAAAAAACAAAAACACAATTTATTCTACTTAAAGTAACTTGGAGTTACGAGATTTTTTTTCTAGCACCGTCAGCAAAGCAGCTCAATATGACCATTCTGGAAATACTTGTAGGAACGGCATAAATATGTAACATCGCACACATCCGTGCACCCCTCACCATTCTCTCGAGAAATGGCTCACCCACTTCTCCCTGACTGACAGCCTAACCAGTCACCACACCTCCTCACGTGCTGGGCAGCTCTGCTGCTGCAGGCCTGGGTTCTCTCCCGTTTGCCTCCTACTGGACCCGGAGGCCTCGCCTGCAGTGTGGTGCTTCCACCTCCAGCCTCCCCTGAGCTGGACTTGCACTATCCACAGTTCCGTTCCCTGCAGCCGTCACGACCCCGGTGAGCTCATGCCTCCAATAAGTACTGATCCCTCCCAAGAGACTGGCTCTGGGCAGAAGCGGAATAAATGCTGGGCCATTAGCTGCAGGACACAGCCCTGCGCTCAGAGCCTGTGGTCTGGCTGCCAAACCCCTCGAGGCGCTCTGCCCTGGGAGAGGCCAATTCAGATGCTGCTGACCCAGGGACAGACAGGAGGAGGCTAAGTTGGTGGGGCAGGAAGTGCCTCCTGGGGACCTCTGAGCAGAGACCTGATGGGAAATCAGGTGTTGGTCAGGTGACGAAGGTCCAACAGCACAGCATACCCGACACACAAAACAGCAACCAAACAAAACGATTGATTTCAGCCAAACCACACAGGCCTCAGCTCTGCAGCCTCACTCCTGAGGCCCCAGCAGTGGACAGAATTCACATCCGAGTGACCACCACAGTTTGCTGAGGTATGGGAGTGGCAAACGATTTCTGTAAACAGAGGGTAAACAGTGTAGGTTTTGCCATCACCTGGTCACCTGGTCACCACTGCCACTACTCAGCTCTGCCGTCTGCAGCAGGAAAGCAAATGCAGACAGTAAGCAAATGAACTGCCATGGCCGTCTCCCTGTAAAACCTTCAAAACCAGGCAGTGGCTGTGTGTGCCTGAGTTCTGCTGTCGCAGTACAAAGCTGACCCTGGAAGATGCGGTTTTGAGCTGTGCAGGTGCACTTATACACGGATTCTTTTCAATGACAGGTGCAGGTGCATTTATACATGGGTTCTTTTCAATGACAGGTGCAGGTGCACTTATACACGGATTCTTTTCAATGACAGATGCAGGTGCATTTATACACGGGTTCTTTTCAATGACAGGTGCAGGTGCACTTATACACGGGTTCTTTTCAATGACAGGTGCAGGTGCACTTATACATGGGTTCTTTTCAATGAGAGACAGTGAACCCCACACACATGCTGGACTGACTTTCTGTGTCCTCGTGCTCCACAGGGCTGGCTACGGGGCGCGAGTACACACAGATTTGGGTGCATCAGGGCACTGGAGCTGGAGTGACTTAGTATTCTCATGCTCTGCAGGGCTGGCTACGAGGCTGGAGTGCGCACGGATTTGGGTGCATGCAGGGGCGCTGGAACCAATCCCCCTAGATGCCGAGGGGCGACTGCAGTCATCACTCATTCTCCTGCTCTTTCCAAACAAAAATCTGATTATTTCACTCCTCCGCTTACGCCCCTTCAATGACTCCTCACTGCTCTCAGGCTAAAGCCCAAGCTCCCTCGTGCGACTCTGCTGCTCACCACATGCTCTGACCACATGGCCCTGCTCAAGCTCGGAGGCCCCCATACATGTGGTTCCTTCTGCTTGAGCAACCCTCCCCTCCAGCCCACCTCTGCCAAGAACGTGGCACACTCTTCTACATGCTGCTAGACGACCACCTGCCAACCCTGCCGTGAGAACAGCACACTCTCCACACGCTGCTAGAAGACGGCCTGCCACTTGCAGCAGATCTAAAAGACGCACATTCTGGCTGGGTGCGGGAGCTCACGCTTGCAATCCGAGCACGTGGGGAGGCTGAGGCACGTGGATCACCTGAGGCCAGGAGCTCAAGTCCAGCCTGGCCAGCATGGTGAAACCCCATTTGAGCCGGGCGTGGTGGCGGCACCTGTAATCCCAGTTACTCAGGAGGCTGAGGCAGAAGAATCGCTTGAATCCGGGTGGCAGAGGTTGCAGTGAGTCGAGATCACACCAACTGCACGCCAGCCTGAGCCACAGAGCGAGACTCCATCTCAAAAAAGAAAAAAAAACGGAATAGGCACATTCTGAGTGACACTGACACAGGCTTCCCTTTCAGGAATCATCCCAAGAAAACAGACATGAAAGCAGAGTTTGGGAAAGAGTCACTGCAGTGTTATTTATAGTAAGAAAAAGTCAAAACAATAAATGTCCACCAATAAGGGAAGTGACAAAGAAACTATCCTAAAATGACAAGAAGATGAGATAGATGCAGACGCAGGGACATGTGAAGCGCTCCACACAACACTGTAAGTGAAAAAACCTTGGCCGGGCGCGGTGGCTCATGCCTGTAATCCCAGCACTTCGGAGGCGCATCACCCGAGATTAGGAGTTTGAGACCAGCCTGGCCAACACGGTGAAATCCCATCTCTACTAAAAACACAAAAAAATTAGCTGGGTGTGGTAGTGCGTGCCTATAATGCCAGCCACACGGGAGGCTGAGGCAGGAGAATCAATGGAACTTGGGACGTGGAGGCTGCAGTGAGCCGAGATTGCACCACTGCACTCCAGCCCGTGACAGAGTGAAACTCCATCTCAAAAAAAAAAAAAAAGAAGAAAAAAGCTGACGCTACAACAGTATGCGTAGCGTAATCGCATTAATGCAAAATATATATACCTACACATGCATTTCTAATGTATGAACGGGATTTTGGAAAGCTTTCCACTTTCTAAGTTGAATATCCCTAAGCTGAATGTCTTTAATCAGATATCTGAAGTCCTAAACTTTTTGAGCACCAATAAGACACTCAAAAAATACCCACTGGAGCATTTCAGAATTTTGAATCAGACACGCTCAATTGGTAATTATAATGCAAACATTCTAAAATCTGAAAAAATTCAAAATCTAAACACTCTAGTCCCAATCATTTCAGATACTCAATCTGTACTTAAGTTGTACAAGAACGAGAATTTATTAGTTTTAAAAAACGATTTTTGGATTTGAGGGAAAGAAATCAAACCTGAATAGGCTTGCAAAAACTAAAAATCACGAGCATCTCCTAAGTCTTATTTCTGAGACATATTTAATTTGAATACATTCAAGAAGGGTCATAGATACCAAAGTGTCACTAAGTGTCCCATCCTGGAAACCAGGAAATACGTCTTCTTATACCTTGGGAGCCTAATTAACTACAGTCATGTCCCAGATAATAACTTTTGTTTTGTTTTGAGACGCAGTTTCACTCGCTTCTCAGGCTGGAGTGCAATGGCGCCATCTCGGCTCATCGCAATCTCCGCCTCCCAGGTTCAAGTGATTCTCCTGTCTCAGCCTCCCGAGTAGATGGGATTACAGGCGCATGCCACCATGCCCGGCTAATTTTTGTATTTTTAATAGAGACGAGGTTTCTCCATGTTGGCCAGGCTGGGCTCGAGTTCCTGACCTCATCTGCCTGCCTCAGCCTCCCAAAGTGCTGGGATTACAGGTGAGCCACCACGTCCAGCCTGATAATAACGTTTTGTTCAACAGATGCATATACGGTAGTAGTCTCATAAGACTAAAATATCTTATTTTTACTGCACCTTTTCTATGTTTAGATAGATAAATACTTTTACCATTGTGTTACCACTGCCTATAGCATTCAGTTCAGTGGCACGCTGTTCAGGTTTCCAGCCTGGGAGCAACAGGCTGCACCATGTAGCCTAGGTACGTAGTAGGCTATACCACCAGGTTTGTTTAAGCATACTCCATGATGTTTGCAAGATGATGGAATTGTCTAATGACACATTTCTCAGACTGTATCCGTGTTGCTAAGGGACACGACTGTGCTGTGTTATAAAAATGAGCCGCTGTTATCACACCAAAGACAGCATTTCTTCTCCTCCTCAGCCGTGGCACACAGCACACTAGCACGGAGTCAGGCTTCTTAAGGTACAAGAAGAAACACCAAAAGAAGCTCAGAACATACTCACCTGGTATCTTCCAGTGTCACCTGACCTGATTTTTCATCCACTACAATTTTACAGTGATCTCCAGAGACCAGTTTATTGCCAGGGAACGAAAGGTCGCAACCTACAAAAGACAGGGTGGGATGACATGGAATATGACCATGGGAACTGTGAACCCTAATGCCCTTTGCTTTACCAAAGTATGTGGTTCAAACTCAGGATCCTCCTTGTACATATGTAAGAAAAACACTTAACCAAGACAGTTATGAAAAAAAAATTTTTTTTTTTCTTTTTTTAGACAGAGTCTTGCTTTGTTGCCCAGGCTGGAGTGCAGTGGCCCAATCTCAGCCCACTACAAGCTCCACCTCCCGGGTTCACACCATTCTCCTGCCTCAGTCTCCCAAGTAGCTGGGACTACAGGCACCCACCACCATGCCTGGCTAATTTTTTGTATTTTTAGTAAAGATGGGGTTTCACCGTGTTAGCCAGGATGGTCTCGATCTCCTGACCTCGCAATCCACTCCCCTCGGCCTCCCAAAGTGCTGGGATTACAGGCGTGAGCCACCGCGCCCGGCCCGTCCTGAACCTTTCTGAATCCCCACCCTCTCAAAGACACCCATCAACACCTCCAGCTACACACAGCCTCTCAAATGGCAATTTTACAGCTGGGCACAGTGGCTCACACTTGTAATCTCAGCACCTTGGGAGGCCGAGGCAGACGGATCACGAGGTCATGAGTTCGAGACCAGCCTGGCCAACATAGTGAAACCCCATCTCTACTGAAAATACAAACATTAGCCAGGCATGGTGGCAGGCGCCTGTAATTCCAGCTACTTGGGAGGCTGAGGCAGGAGAATCGCTTGAACCTGGGAGGCGGAGGTTGCTGTGAGCTGAGATCATGCCATTGCACCCCGGCCTGGGCAAAAAGAGTGAAACTCCGTCTCAAAAGAAAAGAAAAAAGAACAAAGGCTTTTTAATATCTCATCATTAATCATTACCGCTTATAATAATCTATAAGGATACATAGAGATACTATAAGACACTAAAGGCAATTAAAAAGTGAAGGGTTTGGTCAGGCGACAGTGCCATGCAAATGTACTTTTCCCAAATGTTCCACATAGAATAACACCCTGAATCTGCTTTGGCCTGAGCCTTGCTCCCATCACTGACCTATGGGTGTGTGAATCAGAGACTCAATATTGTCAAGATGCCAGCTGTCCCCTAGGATTGTTTCATACATTCAAGGCAATTCCAATAAAAATCCCAGAGGGCTTGCAGACACTGACAAGCTGACTCTAAAGTTCACAGAAAAAAACTGTAGAATAACCAAAGCAATTTTGAAAAAGAAGGAAGTTGGAAGACTCACATTACTTAACGGACTTACCATCATGCTATAGTAATCAATACAGTATTGTAGCCGTGTGAGGATGGCCAGAGACAAACGTAAAACCTAAAACTATGAAACTTCCAGTGGAAAAGACAGGTGAAAATCTTAGTGCCGTTGGGTCTGGCATGGACTTCACAGACAGGACACAAAAAGCACAAACCAGGAAAAAAAATAGTCAGCTGAGGTTCGTCAAAAGTAAAATCTGGGCCAGGCACGGTGGCTCACGCCTGTAATCCCAGCACTTTGGGAGGCTGAGGTGGGTGGATCACGAAGTCAGGAGATCGAGAGCATCTGGCTAACACGGTGAAACCCCATCTCTACCACGATTACAAAAAATTAGCCTGGCGTGGTGGCGGGCACCTGTAGTCCCAGCTACTAGGGAGGCTGAGGCAGGAGAATGGTGTAAACCTGGGAGGCAGAGCTTGCAGTCAGCCGAGATGGCGCCACTGCACTCCAGCCTGAGCGACAGAGCCACAAGCGAGACTCTCAAAAAAAAAGAAAGAAAAACAAATTCTGGGCTGGGAGATGTGGCTCACGTCTATAATCTCAGCACTTTGGGAGGCCAAGGCGGGTGGATCACAAGGTCAGGAGTTTGAGACCAGTCTGGCCAACATGGTGAAATCCCGTCTCTACTAAAAATACAAAAAAATAGCCGGGCGTGGTAGTGCGTGCCTACAATGCCAGCTACACAGGAGGCTGAGGCAGGAGAATCATGTGAACCCAGCAGGTGGAAGTTGCAGTGAGCCGAGATCGCACCACTGTACTCCAGCCTGGGCGACAGAGCGAGACTCTGGCTCAAAAAAAAAAAAGGCTCAGCGCAGTGGCTCACGCCTGTAATCCAGGCATTTTGGGTGGCCAAGGCGGGCGGATCACTTCAGGCCAGGAATTCAAGACCAGCCTGGTCAACATGGAGAAACCCTGTCTCTACTAAAAATACAAAAATTAGCCAGGCATGGTGGCACACGCCTGTAGTTCCACTACTCCAGAGGCTGAGGGGGAGAAGCACTTGAACCAGGAAGCAGAGGGTGCAGTGAGCTGAGATCACACCACTGCAACCCAGCCTGGGCGACAGAGCAAGACTCTTAACTCAAAAAAACAAACAAACAAAAATAAACAGGTGCAAACACATTATAAGGGGTGACAGTAAACAAAAAAAATTTGCTTCCAAACAGCACATATTTCCCATCCTCACTCCTTTTTAAAGTATAATGTCAGAGCTAATTTATTAATTTTCACACAAACTAAACATTTTTGTTGACAGGACCAGTACATTTCCCTCCCCATACAAAGGCTACAGGAGAAAATCAAACTACCAGATGGTTACTTGGGAGCCTGGAGGCAGTGAATGTGGAGGCTGAGGGAACTTCCTCTCACTAATTGTATGACTTTGTTCAAGTTCTTAGCTTTCCAGGTTCATTAAATAAATAAATATTCTAGGGGCTGGGACTCTAGCCCCTAGAATATTTATTCTAGGATATTTATTCTAGGGGCTGAGATCTTTGTTAATGTAGTCACTTTATTTATTCTAGGGGCTGAGATCTTTGTTAATGTAGGCACTTTATTTATTCTAGGGGCTGAGATCTTTGTTAATGTAGTCACTTTATTTATTCTAGGGGCTGAGATCTTTGTTAATGTAGGCACTACAGCTATAAATTTCCCTCGAGTACTGCCTTGGCTGCATCCTAAACGTCTTTTGGTGTATTCTATTTTTGTTTCATTTGTCTCAAAATATTTTTAAAGGTTTTCCCCTGTAAAGACTTATTTGATCCATCCCTTGCTTTTAAGGGTGTAGTGTTTAATGTCCATATATCTGTGAATTTTCCACTTTTCCTTGTTATTTTTAACTTTGTTCCATTATAATCAGAAAAGATACTCTGTACAGCAACGAATGTGACAATATTGCATTCCGGAGAGTATATTAACACAACTACTTTATAAAGTTGTAACGAGGGCTAAATGATGTGCATGAATCATGCGCAAGAGTGGGTGGGCAGAACGCCGAATAAACACCAGTTCTTACGTGAGATTTCACTCCACCGAAAAATCTGGAGCTCACTGCACCGCCGCCCCTGTGGCCTGCCCGCAACCGGGTGGCTCTGCCCGGCCCGGCCCGGCCCCCGGCCCCGGCCCCCGGCCCCGGCCCCCGCCCCCGCCCCGCACCTCGTCTCCGCCCGATGGTCCACTCCCGCTTCCTCAGGAGGACGTGCGGCTCGCCCTCCTCGGCGCCCAGGCGCAGGAGCCGTCCCCAGGGCTGCGGCGGCGGCGGCTGCTTGCCTTCCTCGGGCCGCTCCATCGGATTCACATCTGCGGAGACCCCGGAAACGCCCGTGGAGACTCCCGACCCCAGAGGCCGAGACTCGGAGCCCGCCCCACCCCGCGAGCCCTGGCCCGGCCGCCCGAGCCCACGCGGCCCCGCGGCCCGGCCCAGACGCCGGCGGGCGCCCCCTCCCACGGCCGCAGCCAGGTCCCCCTTCGCGGTCCGCCGCAGCCCTCTCGCCAGCCGCGCTTACCCCCGCCCCGCGTCGAACCCGGAACCGGCTGCGCCGCCGCCGCTGTCAACAGACATTGCGGCTCCCTCAGCTGATCCGCGGGGCGGGGCCAACGGCGTCTGCGCCCCGCGATTGGCTGGCGGCGGCGCTCACCGAGAGCGGCGGCTAGAGCGGAGCCGGGAGTGGCCAGCGAGAGTAGGCGCGTGGCGGACGCGCGGCCATCTTTGATCCTGGCTGGGAGACTTCGTCGCCTGCGGATCACGGAAGTGGCTGTGGTGGGCGCCATGTTATGTTGGGGCAGAAAGGACGGGGAACTTCCGGATTGGAAGCCCCTAGGATTCTGAAAGCCCTGCTGAGCTGCGGATGAGTCCGAGGAGTCGAAGACGGTCCACCTTAGTTGTCACGAGGTAGTGCACGTGGAGACCCTTTCGGGTACAGTTGCACACAGCGGATCACACAGATCCGAAGTCTGAAGCACAGGGCGCGCTCCGGGAGTGGGAGCGGCTGCGTTGTGGGCAGGGCGGACGCGGGGCCACGTCTTGGCGGGTGTTTTGCGGTGTCTTCCCGTTCTGAAAGCGCGTACCCTTTACCTCAGTATCCCACTTTTTGGAATCCCGAGACGTTCACGCATGTGCTCCAGAGAAGGGCGCCAGAGGGTATTCCCTGAAAGTGAAAGGTTGGCGAAAGCGGAGTAAACACGGCGAGGTGCGTCCACGCAGGGAGTCTGTGCGGTTTGAAGGAACCAGCCAATGTCTGCACTGATGAGGAGCCCCCAAGTGCGGTTTTAAAAGGGTGAAGCAGGACCCGCCGCAGTGATTTATGCCTGTCATCTAAGTGCTTTGGGAGGCCTAGGCAGGAGGATCTCTTGAGCCCAGGAGTTCGAGATTAGCCTGAGACCTCATCGCTACCAAAAAAAAAAAAAAGTCGGCATCCATTTGTGAAAAACAAACCATATATACACACGTATATGCATATATAAACATTTGTATATATAGGTATAGGCATGTAGCAGGACGAGCAGCAGACAAAACTCAGACACCGAGTTAAAGAAGTAAGGGGTTTATTCAGCCAGGGGCATCGGCAGGACTTCTATCTCAAGAGCCGGGCGAATGAGCGATTCCTGTCCCTTTTAAGGGCTCACAACTCTAAGGGGGTCGTGATTGATTGAGCAAGCAGGGGGTACATGACTGGGGGCTGCTTGCACCGGTAATTAGATCGGAACAAAGCAAGACAGGGATTTTCACAGTGCATTTCTATACAATGATTGTAATCTATAGATAACAGAACCAATTAGGTCAGGGGTCGATGTTTAACTACCAGGCCCAGGGTGTCGCGCCGGGCTATCTACCTGTGGATTTAATTTCTGCCTTTTAGTTTTTACTTTTTCTTTCTTTGGAGGCAGAAATTGGGCATAAGACAATATGAGGGGTGGTCTCCTCCCTTAGGCATAGTTATCTATACCTTGTAAACCAAAAATAAATTTGCAAGCCCCCCAACCAACTGAATGAACTGATTCTCTCAATGTCAAAGTTAACCTGAAAAACCAGTTCAGTCCCTGATGGGAAGCAGGGTTTGGACATGTCCCATTATACTCTCCTCCCTTTGGAATTCAGGTATAACTGACCAGCATCGACATTAAAACAGACACCTTAAGGCTGACCAAACAGACTGTAGTATTAAAATACATCACATGACAAATAGCAGGCCCTGGAAGAAAACGAAGTATTTTACCCAGACATGCATTTCTTTAACATAGTTTTATGTAACCCTGCAGAACTGTCTCCTGGGGGAAATCTATTTTGTAGAGAATCTCCTTCCTTTTCCACATCTTTTCCTGATCCAGGAGAGAACGTAAGAGTCTGGCACCTTTTTAATTCTGATAAGAAACATTTACCACCTATTCTTTCTGAAGCCTGCTGCCTGGAGCTGCATCCGCATAAGAATGGCCAGGATGGTGGTGTTCAAGCCTGTAATCCCAGCACTTTAGGAGGCCGAGGTGGGTGGATCGCTTGAGCCCAGGAGTTCCACACCATCCTGGGCAACATAGGGAGACCCCGTCTTAGCTGGGCGTGATGACAGCACATGCCTATCGTCCCAGCTACTCGGGAGGCAGAAGTGGGCAGATTCCTTGAGCCCAAGAGGCCGAGGCTGTGGTAAACCACAGATTGTGCCACTGCAATCCAGCCTGGGCAACAGAGACCCTGTCAAAAATAATAATAAAATGGAACCTTGGGCTCCCTTATCTTAACCCAGACACTCCTTTCTATTGATTCCAGGTCTCTAGATAATAACTCTTTCAACCAAGTGCCAGTCAGAAAATCTTTGACTCCATCTATGAACTTTCTCCCTAAAATGTGTAAAACCTGCCGGGTGCGGTGGCTCACGCCTGTAATCCCAGCACTTTGGGAGGCCGAGGCAGGTGGATCACGAGGTCAGGAGTTCAAGACCACCCTGGTCAAGATGGTGAAACCCCGTCTCTACTAAAAGTACAAAAAAAATTAGTCGGGCGTGGTGGCAGGTGCCTGTAATCTCAGCTACTCAGGAGGCTGAGGCAGAGAATTGCTTGAACCCAGGAGGCAGAGGTTGCAGTGAGCTGAGATCGTGCCACTGCACTCCAGCCTATTGACAGAGTGAGACTCCGTCTCAAAAAAAAAAAGTATAAAACCAAGCTGTAGCCCCACCACCATGGGCACAGGGTCTTAGGACCTCTTGGGACTGTGCTGTGGGCCGTGATCACTCACTTTTGGCTCAGAATAAACCTCTTCAAATATTGTACAATTTGACTCTTTTAACTGATAATGTGTACATACAAATATGTTTATGAAAATCTCTGTAGAAAGGATACACAAGGAAATGGCGGTGGCTTCCTCTGGAACATGGACTTGAAGTCAAGGGGGTAATGAAGACTTACCTTTCACTGTATATTTGTCTCAGTCTGAGTTCCACCAGAAAAACAGAACCAAAATCGGTAGGATGATGGAGAACACAGCATGACCCATGAATTCCATGAGCATGGGCCCACGGTGTACCTCATTTACTGTGAAGTGGGTACTTTGATCCGAAGCAATGCCATTGTCACAGGAAAAAGAGGAGTTCCAGTCCAGGCTCCATGAAAGCGTTCTTAGATCTTACACAGGAAAGAATTTGAGGTGAGTCACTGAGCACAGTGAAAGAAGCAAGTTTATCAGAATCTACTCTGTTACAGAATAAGGCAGCCTCAGAAAGCAGAAGGAGGAACGCTGTACCACAAACTCTTAAGGAGCTACAATTAAACCTGGAATGTGCAGATGTGCTCACTAAAGGTAAGGCTGTTGGTGCTATCAGTGACCATTAATCCTTCAACCCAAGCCTGCTCATTAAGGTTCTCTCTGAGTAAAGTGGGCCGCACTCTTAGGACATCTGGACATTCTGCAGGCTTGGTGGGAGATGTCCCGTATGATCATAAATATTTCTGCAATTATAATTGGTGGTCAGCTTAGAATGTGGCTATTTTCAGACCATAACAACCTTACAGGTGCCTTGTGAGTGCCTAGCTACTCACCTTAAGATAGAGTCATTCTAGTCACATGTTTTATTAAACCAGCGACCTGGTAGACAGAGCTTTCTCTAACGCCACGACAGTGGATAAGGCATTCTGTGAGTCCACTCATTCTGTGAGTTTTGGCACAGTCATTGCATGATGATGGAATGCTACTCTGTATGCCTCACTTTATGACTTGGTAGGTCAGATAACACTGAGTTCGTGATGAGCAGCTCAGGTCATGCAGTAACTTGGTGGTCCCTGGTTAATTATTCAGTCCCTAATACTGTCTAGTAGCAAGCCAAAAGCTGGTTGTCAAAAGAAGAGTTCGGGTGGAGGCAAGCACTTCTCAGACCTCGGCTGCGCTGCCCTAGGAGTGCCGAGCCCGCAGAACCACAGCCATGACTGAGACCAATGTGAATCCGAAGGCCTAGCCCCTCGCCGATGCCCACCTCACCAAGAAACCACTGGAGCTCGTTCAGTAGTCATGTAACTACAAGCAGCTTCAGAAAGGAGCCAAAGAGGCCACCAAAACCCTTAATGGGGGCATCTCTGAGTTCATCGTGATAGCTGCAGACACCGAGCCACTGGAGATCATTCTGCACCTCCACTGCTGTGTGAAGACAAGAACGTGCCCTACGTATTTGTGCGCTCGAAGCAGGCCCTGAGGAGAGACTGTGGGGTCTCCAGGCCTGTCATCACCTGTTCTGTCACCATCAAAGAAAGCTCACAACTGAAACAGCAGATCCAATCCATTCAGCAGGCCATTGAAAGGCTCTTAGTCGAAACCTGTGGCCTCTGCCACGTGCTCCCTGCTAACTTCTCCCACGAGGTTGTGTATCATATTGTCCGTATTAGCATGTAGTATTTTCTGCTACTCTCTATTAGTACAAAAAAAAAAAAAAAAAAAAGTAATTATCTGCAGACAATGTCAGGGCTTTACACCAGAATCCTAAAAGTCTACATTGTGATTCTCCTATGCGGGCCTGCCAAGGCTCCACCCAGCATTGCTCTCTGCCACTGACGTGTCATTGGATCTGCTGGGTCATGTGACCAAGTGGCTGGGCAGCTTGCACAACAGCCTGCACCTGTTGCAGAGCCTTCACTTGTTCTGGGCCCCACTCAAAACTAGCAGCTGGCTGGGAGCTCAAGCCTATCATTCCATCACTTTGGGAAGCCGAGGTGGGTGGATTACCTGAGCTCAGGAGTTCGAGACCAGCCTGGCCAACATGGTGAAACCCCCGTCTCCACCAAAATACAAAAAATTAGCCGGGTATGGTGATGCACACCTGTACTGGGGAGGCTAAGGTGGGAGGATTGCTTAAGCCTGGGAGGCGGAGGCTGCAATGAGCCATGATCGTACCACTGCACTCCAGCCTGGGCAACAGAGTGAGACTCTGTTTCAAAAAACAAACAAAAAGAAACCTTTTATTTATTTATTTTTGAGACAGAGTCTCACTGGATCACCTAG